AAATACTTCTAAAGTATTTGACACGTGAAAATTGGATTAGATTTTGATTAAATTCGTATTATTTAAAAAACCTTAAGATGTAGGTATTATAAACCTTAGTAAAAGACACTTATTTTGTTCAGCTGTTTAGAGCCTTTGCGACACCCTGTACATTACAAAAATATTTTTAAAATGTGCGCTCGGTAGAATTTTACTGATTAATTTGAAACTCACGTTTTTAAAAAACACTTTATTTCAAAATTAATACAATATTCTTTATTATGTGGATTTGAATTGTGTGTGACCGAACCGGACTTAACCATAGGCTGTTTATGAACTTTAACTTTAACTGAGATTAAACAGACCTGACCATAGACTGTCTTTAACTGAATTATCGTTCCTGCCGTGGCTACTTTTATACGTAAATCATGCTGATCATAGCAGAAACGATACTACGTCTTATTTTAATCGTTTAGTCGGCGGCAGTGGCCATATAATTGCAGGCGTCGGACAATTCATAAAATAATACTTTTTAAAAATCAAACGGTTTAGCGATTTTTCCATTCTCGAACGTAGTTGGCATCGGTTGTCTCGCTCGCACTCATGGAGGTCTATCAGAGCGACACCCGACCTGCGCGTTGCTATGTTCCAACTTGATGCACCCGCGGCTAAAAATGTTTCCGTTTGGAACGAGGCAAAAATTGGAAAAATGGCTACGCCTACTATATTGAGTTGTTCATCAAGATTTTGGAGTAGTTGGGAGTTTTTGGGGTTTTTCGGCCGTCGTCCAGAGATAAATTTGGTACAAAAACTCTCAAATTTTACATCATTTCGTTCCAAATTGCAAATACAAATGTTCTTATAGACAGTGAATGTGTCGAAAATACAAATTATCGTTCCTGCCGTGGCTACTTTTATACTTAAATCATGCTGATCATAGCAGAAACGATACTACGTCTTATTTTAATCGTTTAGTCGGCGGCAGTGGCCATATAATTGCAGGCGTCGGACAATTCATAMAATAATACTTTTTAAAAATCAAACGGTTTAGCGTTTTCAAACTTGCCGTGCCGTTTAGCGTGAATAACTCAGTATAGGCAGACTAAAAACGAAAAAATGCCTCTTAACTGCTTGTTGTTTCAGCAAGCGCACCGGCGGCCCGAGACACTTCCGAAAATGAGTTCGTCGAAGGCGTGGTTTGCAAGGTGCAGGACATCAACGAGAATGAAATGAAAACGTTCGAGCTGGACGAGGAGAAGGTTCTGGTCGTGAAGCAAAACGGAGTGATCAGCGCCTTGGGCTCCAAATGCACCCACTATGGGGCGCCTTTGGTGAACGGCGCCTTAGGAGACGGTAGAATCAGGTGCCAGTGGCATGGGGCCTGCTTCAAGCTCGCAACTGGCGACATTGAGGATTTCCCGGGTAAGAACCATCACATTTCCTCGCAAAGGCGCACCGTCTGACACACACGCCGCTACTTTCAGGCCTGGACTCTTTGCCCTGCTACAAGGTGACGATCGAAAACGACAGCGTGAAGGTGAGGGCGCGCAAATCGGAACTATCCAGCAACAAACGCGTGAAGCCCATGGCAAAGCGGGCGGCGCCCGCCAGCGAGAAAATTGTCGTTATCGGGGGCGGGCCCTCTGGGGCCACCGCCGTCGAAACCCTGCGACAAGAAGGTGAGGCCGCAGGCCCCTCGAATATCAAACCACTCGCCTTTGTGCGGCTTTGCAGGCTTCACGGGCCAGATAGTGCTGGTGTGCAAGGAAAACTACCTGCCCTACGACCGAGTGAAAGTGAGCAAGCAGATGGACTTCGAGATCGGCAAGGCCCAGTTCCGGACCGACCAGTTCTACCAGGACAATGGCATCGAGGTTCTAAAGGTACCGCCTCTCTAAAGGCAGCTACCGGAGGATTTCACTATTTCAACTCAACTCTTTCAGGGCGTGGCAGCCACTGCAGTGGACACTGCAGCCAGCACGGTCTCCCTATCCAATGGGGCGGAGCTTCAGTATGACAAGCTTTACGTGGCCACCGGCTGCAAACCCAGAAAACCCAACGTTCCGGGCGCAGACCTGGAGAACGTGCGCGTTTTGAAGGACTACGACGACTCAGCGTAAGTCGTCTGAGCTCTCAAAAACCCAATAAACTCATTGTTGTTTCGTCGCCAGCTACGCCTTCCCGCTGCTCAACCCCGACGTGGAGATAGTGGTGATCGGCAGCAGTTTTATCGGGATGGAAGCCGCCAATTTCTGCGTGGACAAAGTGAAGAGCGTGACTGTTGTTGGGCGAGGGGCGGTGCCGTTTAGGTCCACGTGGGGCGAGCGGATCGGGGCCGCCATACTGGCGCTGTTCGAAAGCAAGGGTGTAAAATACATCGCAAACAACGGTAAAGAGAGGCAAGTGTGGCGCGTTCAGAGGCACTGATTTTTGCTTAAAAAGGCATCAAAAAAATCAACGGATCGGGCGCCGTGTCCAGCGTGGAGCTGCACGACGGCCAAATACTCAAATGCGATATTCTGTTTTGCGGCATTGGCAGTTCCTACTTCACGGACTTCCTCAAAGGCTCAGGGGTGGAACTGCAGCCCGACGGTTCCATTGAAACCAACGAGTTCATGCAGACGAACGTTCCGAATGTCTATGCAGGCGGTGATATTGCTTATGCTCCGGTTTGGTCTTATCACAACAGGAAGGTGGCTATAGGTAAGACAGTATTAATAGCCCGGGATTTTTTTAACGCTGGCAATGGCAGGTCACTACGGCTTGGCGCAGTACCATGGCCGGGCGGCTGCTGTCAACATGCTGGGCAAGAACGAGCCAATCAGAGCGGTTCCCTACTTCTGGACCATGCTGTTCGGAAAGGGGTTCAGATATGCGGGCCATGGCAGCTACGACGACATCATTTACGCGGGCGACGTGGAAGGGCTGAAGTTTATGGCCTTTTTCCTCAAGGAGCACGAAGTGGTCTCGGTCACATCATGCGGTGAGTCTTGCAAAGGGTTCAGAAAACCCCGCACTAATTGGTTGGTGCGGCAGGTATGGACCCGTTGGTATCAAAGTTCGCGGAGCGATTGGCCCAGGACAGGAAATTGTACAGGAGCGATTTGCAAGAGGACCCTCTGGCCTGGTCGAAGGCCGCATAAATGCCAAACGAAACGCTGTTGTTAATTTATTTTCCGCAGAGATATTTATGTTAAGATTTTTACAGATGTTTTCACTGCTCGCTTGCCTTGTACAGTATTATTAAATAAAGCCACTGTTTCACAGCAGCACAGCAAACACTCACAGATTCCAATCAAGCCGCGCACTTGATGGTAAAAACGAAACACTTACCGACTATGCTGATCGCTATAAGTCAGTCTGCTGGAATTTCACTCTCGGTGCATGGTCCAGGTCTGCAGAGTCGCTCCCATTGCCATCCAAACTCTGCACCATCGAACTGGTGAAACTGAAGCGACTGTTATCGGTGGTTTCCGATCCGATTGAGACCGCATCGTAGTCGGGCAAGTGTCTGGCATTGAGGAACTTCACGTGGGCATCGTGCTCGATGAAAATACCTTTGGCGTTCGCCCCCAGTAGCTTGAACTTCGTCAGGCCCAGCCGGTACGAATCGCCTGCCATCAGGCTGCAAAGCTCTTCGCTGATTTTCAGGATCTCCACCGCAGCAAATTGCACCACGTACAGGTAGTTCTTGATTAAATGCACTGCCAGCGGAAGGTGCTGGTTCTTGATCTCCTTCTCTCTGGACGAGCGCCCGTATTCATCCACGAAAATCGAAAACTCATTGAACGTCAGCAGGTACTCGCGAGGATTCTGCGACACTTCCACAATGCCGACGGGAAAACTGCCCAATTTGTGGCATTTGAGGGCCGGTTTTAGGTTCAGATCGGACGCGTCCAGGAATTCCTCGGCCTGGAACAGGCTCAGATCGATTTCGAAGAACTTGTCGGCCCCAACGATCAGACTGTGCTCAGTGAATAGCATGCAGCTAGTTGGCTGGGCGGTGTCCAGAATCCGCACTGGAACGAACTCTTTGCTTTCGTAGTAGTACTCGAGGATTAGGAGCTGTTTGGCTGTTGCAACAGCGATTTTTTTCTGCGAAGCATGTTTCGACACCTGGAAAATACATCGAGCTATTTAAACGGACCCAACATTTCTCTTCAAATGGTGTGGAATGGCTTGCATCTTCACAGTGCGAGCAAATGGCCAAAAACGTTCTTTTCCTAAAGTCCTAAATACCCGAAAAACGCATTATTTTACCTGTGTTTAAGTCGTGTCTGTTTGTAAGTGTTCCGCACTTTTTATTGAGCTCCTTTATGCCAAAATAGTATTTTAACTCGAAGTTGATGGGAATTTTCTATTTTGTGCCTTTTTCCAGTTCGAAACTGACGAAAATCAAACAGATCACTCAAACTACCTGTCAACTGGGCAACGCTCATAAAGCAGGCGCAAACGGATGACAACTGCAATAGGGCGTGGCTATTCAGGCGTTATAACAACTAACAAAACGTGTATAAAATTGTAAATAATCAGAAAATTATCCTAAAAATGCCGTTAAAGTTCATAGAGAAAATGGCAGTCGCCGCACATAGCTAGGCATTTGGGCATAGTTGGCCGGGCCCTGTACCCTATTTTATTTTACGAACACCCTCCAGCTGCGCCTACAACCGTCAGTCTATTCTGCCCTTTGCGCGTGTGCATGACAAAGAGAGCAACATTTTGCCCAACTGACAAGATCGTTGACATAATCAGACAGTTGTGAAACTTCTTTATAAAAACTCGTTCAGTTTTCTTGGTAAAAAAGCGTTTTAAACATGGACTGCGTACTGAAATGATGGGCGTGAAGGAAGAAGCACAGAAGGTAACATTTCCCAAACAATTACTCGCTTATTTTCTTAGAAAAAGAATGTTTAACTAAACTGGTGTTGCGCACCGATCGTTGCGATATCAAAAACAAGTTTTACCTGCAAAAGATGAAATCCGCTCAAATTGTTCACGTTGATGTTGTGGTAGTTTAACGTGGGCTTCGCGCATGGGGCGCACTGAGTCAAATTGATCAGATGGTTCACATCGCACCCAATCAGGGTCAACTTGGCGCCATGGATCATCAGAACTGCATCCTCAAACAGCGAAATCTGCAATAAAACCACCGCTCTTTGCCTCCTCCTTTGGGTTCGCTCCACTTTCTCCTACCTGCTCAACATTGGCCACGCCTTCGATCCTCAACGCGCTAATACTGTTGTTGTAGTAGGAGAAAAGCCCCTGGTCAGTGCCCAGGACTTTGATGTTCTCAGTCAGCTCCACCATACAGTTTACTGATAAATTCGCCGGCAATTTCGCAAGAGTTTCCAACTTGGAGGCGGCCGGATCAGGTGCAAAGAACCGTTGAAGCCCTGAAAAAGCAACTGTTGAGGCCCAAAATCCGCTGAAACAATCAGTCCTCGTACCGGAAACCCAGGTGTCCTTGTCTTTGGCAGTGAGCGCCATCAGGACGAGGCTATCGGACGGCCAGCACGTTGTTTCGGGGCTCACTTCCACTTTGATGATGAATGGCAGGTCGCTATTGGCCACCGGCATTCCGATCTCGGATGGGACTGGTTCCAAAATTATCTAGAAAAAAGGGTTTATAATAATATGGCATTAAGGAGAGATGCGTGCGTACTTTTCCATGTGAGCCTTCCGGCTTCAATGGGAAGCTCTTCAGCGGCGCAGCGCAAGCCGCATCTGTGAATATTTCCAGCGAGCTTGATGTGAGGCGGGCGAACCTTTTCTCCCATGAGTTGAGTTTTTTGCTGAAATCATTTTGGTTTGAGTCTTGCTCGAACCATTGCGTGGATGGCACTCACCATGGCAATTTCACCCATCCTTCACACACCGTTTCGCCGCACTCCCCATTGCCTGGCGGGTCGGCGTTCTCGAAAATCTCCCTGTAGTGATTGGCCAGCTCCTTCGGTAATCCACACACTTTCGGCAGGAGTGGAGCGCAAGCTGGATGTCCAGCTATTTTGCATTCTTTGCAAATGCTACAGTTGCGGCCGATTGGGATTGGTTGATGGCATTGTGGGCATTTTTGCGGCATCGTGTTCAACTTCGACTCGAATCTGCGACAATTTGGCGCGTTAAGCTAGCTAGTTGAGTTATTTTTTAGTCGCGCAGCTATCAAGTTCGAACGTAGCAACAGTGGGCCGTCTCGCTGCTCGCAGCGACTTCTATGCGAGCGAGTGAGAGGACCGATGGGAACTACGTTCCGCAATGCAGTTTGGTTTGTAAAGGTGAATAAATCAAAATCAATTCCTGGGCTTCAGTCATTTATTGTCTATTTATCAATTAAAAAACGTTTCGGTGTTTTCCACCATCATCAGTTTTTATGTGTAGCGTTGTTGCTGCTTTAAGCCTTGGCATGCATTTTTTGCCGAGCAAGAAAATGCATGCCAAGGCTTAAA